TGTTCTGCGCCTTCTTCGCTGCAGCAAACCCTAAACCCTAAACCCTAAACCCTAAACCCTAAACTCTCGCCAGTTCTCCCCCGCACCAAACCCTACAACAAAGCCCAGCAAGCTCTAGCCAATCCTAGCCGTAAGCGCTAACGCCAGACAACTACCCCAATCTGTAGGGGACATCACCCGCGCCCTAAACCCTAAACCCTAAACCCTAAACCCTCGTACATGGCTTTTCTGTAGAAGCTGGACTCTCTGTCCCGAATCTGCAGCTGCTCCTTCAAGGCGTTAAGGGCCCCTTCTGTCTCCTTTTCAAATTGGGCCTTCAGCAGATCCACCTGCAGCAGCTGCTGCTGCTGCAGCGCAGCAGCCTGCGCCTCTGCTGCTGCCAGACGCACCTGCATGCAGCAGCAGCAGCAACAGCAGCAGGGGGTGCAGCAGCAGCAGAAGCAGCAATAGCAGCCGCAGCAGCAAGTAGAAGGAGGGCAACTCAAATCGACTTTGCGGGGAGTAAAGGCGAGACACGACAGCTGCAGCATCCTCTGCTGCTGCAGCAGCAGCAACAGAAGCAGCAGCAACAGCAGCAGCAGCGACAGCAGCAGCAGCAACAGCAGCAGGAGCAGCTCAACCTCTACCTTCAGGTCCTCTGCAGCATCTGCTGCTCTTGTGTCACTTTTAGAAAACGCTTCCATCATCTGCTTCGTCAACTGGTCTTTGCTCTGCGCCCAAACCCTAAACCCTAAACCCTAAACCCTAAACCCTAAACCCTAATTCTCTGGGCAGCTGGCTGCAAGCTCGGCTGATGGCCTCAGCCCCCTCTGACCTAGGGCTGTCTGAGCCCCAGGGTTAAGCGCTTAGGGTTTAGGGTTTAGGGTTTAGGGTTTGCGTGCCTCGGTGAGCTCTCTGACGGCGTCTTGGAGTTCTGCGTTTTTCTTTATGAGCTCGTTGAGCTGCTGCTGCTGCTGCTGCTCTTTGTCTCCTTCTTTTTCCTGCTGCTGCTGCAGCTGCTGCAGCAGCTGCAGCTGCGACAGAGACACAGCTTGGGCCTTCTCGAGTCTCTTCCGCACTCTGTTGGCGTCATCTAACTCGCTTTCCAGCTGCCTCAGCGCACGCAAAACGAGGGTTTAGGGTTTAGGGTTTAGGGTTTGGGGTTTAGGGTTTGGGGTTTAGGGTTTGGGG